CCCCAAAACCCCAAAACCCCAAAACCCCAAAACCCCAGTCACGGTGAAACTTATTGAATTTAACAAATATGAATAAAGGACCACTTGAAATTTTGATAACGAGTGAGATATAAGATTATGATAAAATATTACACTCTTACAACAGGCAAGATCCTTTGGGAAAATCTCTGAGGAGCTGTCCCAGTTATAGAGAATTCTTTCAGACTAAATTAAAATGTCTGGAGTCTGAGTCTGTTGAGTCCATGGCTGTTAGAGTTCAAATCTTTATTTCCTTTCAATAACTTTACTCTTGCTCTCTTACCACTTGCTGATATAACAGAGCCGGTCTCGTCAATACTAAATTTGTGCATTGACAATACGCTGCTGATTTGTGGTTTAGGGATATTATCGTTCCTAAGGATCTCAATACAAGAAAGAGTTTGCTCAGATTTCTTTGTTGGGCAAAATCCTACTCTTCCCTGAAAATCTTGGACTGTTTCTGTCATAGTTCTTTGTCTCCTATGAAGCTTCTCCTCTCTTTTGTTCATCTTGTCATTGCCTGATGCATTTTCCTGACTGAGAGGAGTGGGCATATGGAAAGCAGAAACATCTACTCTCTCCAGCTTCTCAAGACTGACCATTTCTGAATGTTTTCTTTTTATAGAGCTTCTCACTGGATCTTCTGAGGAAAGCTGGACTCAAGTAGAAGTACTATACTTTTTAGATGAGTCAAGAGATCTTTTAAATTTAAAGGAATCTTGGTTGCACTGAGTCGGAGGTGTGCTCTTCTCCACAGTAGCCATCTTGTATGCTGATGGGAAATACGTAAACCCTTGGTCATTTGAGTTGGTATCAATTACGTCATTAGGTTGATCTATACTTTCCGATTCTACAGAACATTTTATTTTAAATGATTTTGAATCTGAGTTCTCGCTTTTTATGACTCCCTGAGTTTTTACCTTCTTTGGTGCAAAATTATCTCAGTCTCACTTAGGGAAATCTTGAAGTTTTTCTTCCAATTTCTCTTTGAGATCTTCCTTTTCTTGAGTATCCTCAATTCCTGAAACGATCAGATCTATTGAAAAATTGTTCCTAATGAGACACTGGATGGAAGTCTCTCCAATCAAGCAATTAGGAAGGATCCTTTTGAAAAATTTTTGAGCATGACTTCTGATCTGGGGCCCAGACCTTTGTAAACCTTTCTCACTACTATTAGTAGGCTGGAAAGTCATGTTCACATGCCTCTGTACAAGCTTCCAGTTTTTCCCATGCTTTATAAGTCCTTGGAGGAACCTTATATGCTCTTCGGCTGACCATCTTCCCGTCTTTCCATCTGTTTTCATAGCCTTGCTGCCCATTATTTTAAATTCAGCTAAATGATGTGGTTAACTTTAAGAATAGAGGATCTTAAGTATGAATTTTGCCACGAATAATTCTTATAATAAAACTTGAAAAGAAAGAACAACTGGTCATGAAATTATGAGTCCTTCCTGCACAAAGATCTCAGAGGCTTTTAGTTTATCAGATTTTCAATATTTTTCCTCTGAACCATTTTCGGAAGAATGGGAATCAGAAATTATGAAGAGGTTGCAACGAATATCTTTTATAAACTTACCAGTTGTTTTTGCTTTCCTTGACTTTCTGCCTCCTGAAGATTGTATCTCAGAGCTAGTGACTTCTATTTCGCCTATAGCTTGCTTAATTATGACCACAAAGGAAGAAAGAAAGGAAGGTTTGTAACAGGAACTTGATAATAACCTAAGATACTACCATTGAAGATCTTTCTTTATAACACAGCACAAATATTTCCCATATTTTAGCAATTTTGTGAACAAGGATCAGACCCGAAATTGGTAGCCGAATCTCAGAATAGCTTTATAAAAGAGCCAGGTTTTTGTACGGCTAATTTGGTCTAAAAAGGATAGCATATTTGTCCGAAATGCTTAACCTTGCACTTGCAGTTTCAAAAATTTTCTAAGATTTTGGAACTTATGAGAAAGCAATAATATTCATTTTCTTTAGTTTGGTCAAAGAGAGTGCTGGCTATGCCAAGCTTAGCTCACAAAAAATGAAGGATCTTGTTTAACTTGATGTCAAAATAGCAAATGATGGTTTTCACAAACCTCTTAGTAGATTTCTTTACCACATTATGAATGGAATCTGTCTTAAAAAATTTAGAAAAGATGAGAAGCTAAATTATGAACTTGGAAATCTAGCCCAGTGCCATGCACTTTGAACCCCTTGGTGTCAGAAGTAATGAAAGAAATAGAGCTAAAATGAATACTACGCTAACAATACTCGAATTCTGCTTGTTTTAACTAAATCTCGAAGCGATATCAGTATTAAGGCTGCTAAAATTCATTGGATTCTCTACCAAAAAGTTCCCAAAAGCAGCTCAACCATGCTGTAGGATGCATGTTGAAAACACTGATGAAATAGAATCATCGTTGCTAAAGTTGCCCACAACATCTAAAACAAGAAATAAATTTCCTGAAACTATAAAACCAAGCGGAGGCTTTCTTACTTGAGTGCTGATTGGTGTCAGCTGAATGCCTCTTTTCCAAAACCTCTTGTGTGAAGCTCATTGGTTCAAAATGAAAAATATTTATATAATAGAAGATCAACTTGATAAAACTAATTTGGGGTTTTGGGGTTTTGGGGTTTTGGGGTTTTGGGGTTTTGGGGTTTTGGGG